TTGTAAACAATTTTATCAACCTTTAACTGAAGGTCTCTTCCCGAACCTTTCAATTAGGGTCACAGGAGGAAAAAGACAGAAGAGTAGCAAAGTCAATAGCAACATGTTTTATCGAATCATCACTTGCAAACTGCGTATTCCATCTTAACAATTCCTGATCACTTGATCCAGATCGAGCCAGTCTGATTTATACTTCTACAAAAGAAGCGATCAATACGGACCTATTGTTTCGCTATTTGAAACATCGCCTATATGGTCTGCCTTTCACTTCATCCGCATGCCTGATTGATCCGACGGCAATATTCATGTGAGTCAGCTATCTTCAGCTATCCACATTAATCTTGCTGCTGCGAAACAATTTTCCTATTTTATTCTTGGATTAGTTGATAAAGAAACAAAAAATGATCCATAGGATTAAAAATGTGGTGATCTATAGCCCAAAACCAACGTGGATCGAACTGGGTTTCACAAAACTTCCACTCAGTAAGAGAAATGAGAGTGATAAATGGACAAGTTGAAAAATTAAATAATTTTTGTCAATGGCCCTCGATAGTGGTACATATTTTTCACCCCACTGTTATCCTATTTGTTATATTGGGGAGATCAAACCTGTTACACTTGACCAATATGGTTTCTCCAAAGATGCAAGAGCTGTCAGGTCCTCGTTAATAATCACTGCAAACATTCGAAAACAGTACTGTTTCATCCAGATTTTGTGAAAGTTTACTGTTATTTCGACAATTGCTAATATCTTGTCACAATTTTGGTTTGCTAGTCACACATTTGTCTCAAAACATATATCGTAAAGGAACACAAAAACTAACAGTTATATCTTTCTGGGAAACATTTTGTAATTTTCCTGTATTGTTGTTCCAATTTTTGAACGCTTCTCATCCCCCAATTATTCCAAGCCCATCGGGTTGGGATAGTGAGTATCGTTTGGAGCTGCTGAGCAAAAATCTGCCCGAATCCGTGATGAATGAAAAATTTGCAAGCAATTTTCCGCGACCATCAAAATTCCGTTCAAAATCATCCAATAAAGGTGAGACATTTCCTGTTCGATCGGTCTTTCCATCCACCCTTTAACGCCGAATTCGTTTGTCAAGAAGCTTGGATAATCGAATATTTCCAAGAGTACATTAATCGATCGATACAGCCTGAATTGAACTTTGTGTGCGAGTGTGTGATTGAACACTTAATCAGTGATATAATAAGACAAATCATGACAAACCTATAAGGGGCACTGCAAACCACCAAATTCGCCATCTTCTCTTCCCCCCGCCCATCACGCATATACATACGCACACAAACACGTACACATGTCATCAACTCCGTCCACATTAGCAGTACTAAAACGAGTGTGTACAAACAAACTATATCGGAATATGTTCCTCGTTGAAATTTGAACATCCCACCTGCCTTAGGATTCAAGCAAATGTTACGTTATGTAACAAACACGTCCTTGTCGTAAGGGCCAACACGAGGGGCTACAGATCTTGCAATTTTGGCGAATAATATGATCCACAGATCGGTTGTGTCCTTTTTCCTTGCACGTTTTATGAATGACAAAGGTCGTCTTAATCGACATTTTCTCATAAACATTAGCCGAAGCAGCTTCAAATTTTGTAACTCAGTACAATAAATATATATAATATTTTCCGAATGTAATAAATAAATAACTTCGAACGACTTTTTTCACAATGGTAAGTACCGAAATTACCGGGCGAAACAAAATCCGATCACATCTGTACATGCGCTTTTCGGGACAGGTTGTCAGGGTAACGTAATATCTTCAGTTTGTCGCAGTCAGAACAGAAATAAAGCCACAAATCATCGAGTTGGTTCGCCACAAATGGACTGCATGACAGAAGTTCATCCGAAGTTTCCTTCGAAATAGGTAGATGCGATATACCTCGGTTGTACGCAACATGTATCCAATGGACACCACTTAAATGAAAGTAACATCAAACGGTTTGAATAAAAATTACCACTAACTGTCTAATGTTTGTCAAACAGAATAAACTAAACCGACCACGATGAATGCAGAAAAAAATCAATGTACAAAAAAGCTTGTTTGATAAAATGAAGGTAGATGGTGGTCCGTGTCGGTGGTGAGTTTTCCATGGTGCTATCCGTTTGGATCTAATCCAGAGAGTGGTATGTGCCTGTCGTCCTCAGTCTCATATAACTCCAATTAAGTCCTATCATTCTAGACAAACACAAGATACACTTATAACTACGGATAAGTGGTTCATTTGTCCACAGTTTGTCTTTGTCGTTAAGACACATTCTATGTCTGATGGGAAAGGCGAATGAGCACCAAGTCATGCGCTGTCCATGTACAATGAACACCCTCACCCGTGAAGCCAGTTTGAATAGCCTAAACGGAAGCATATGCAATAAAAGCCCTTAAGTATACATGTTCAAACTGTCGTCAAAAGTCAATGGATATTTGCTACTGTTAAAGTTTTCTTACAGATTGGATGAAATTGCCGTGCAGTGTGTCCAAGGCACGCTTAAGTGGTACTGGTATTCGTATGTTATGAATCACTTTCTGACTACTCAGTAACCGAATATTCCGATTATTTAGTTAGTTGTCATAGCGATCACCTCAATTCATGCACAGGCTCAAGTATTCTGGAATGAACTGATTACCATGACTAGTGAACTACAATGAGCTATGAGAATATCAAACTCCGTCCAACTAATCGATCGCATGAAGTATCGCCGATAGAGAGAAAGGGACACGTGGCGCTCCCATAAAAACAACTTTTTCTGCTGGAAAAATGATATCAAGTTATAAAACCATCAACTTTCCACTCATTGAAGTGTTATTTGGGACAATGTGCCCAGTAGTGATCGATATTACGGATAGCAAATCTACTTTGGCCAGAAAATTGGCTTGTCAAACCCCGTAACAGCAAACACCCATCGATTGGCGTGCATCGGCCACCGCATGATTTTCAGACGTGTGGACATGGCGGTGTTTCTCATCTGCCAGAAGTGCCGTCTAAAAGAATTTATGACTATAGTTGAAAATATATTTTCAAAATTTTTCTCAAACATATTTGTGATCCATACAACGTGATTAGGTCACTTATCCGTGATTTTAGGTCAAGCAAATAGATCATATCACAGGCAGATTAAGGCATGTTGTATTGCACAAGTTTCGTCAATCACATTGTCCACCGCGTTCTGTTTGTCCGAGGGAAGCACAATTCCCAAATACACACAGTGACCCTTTTTCAGAGTAGCAAGCTTGGATTAGCCCATTCGATTGTTAAGAGGCACCGGGCACTCTTGGGTGTGGGTTTCACTCCTCGGGAGATCGTTAATTCCCCACAATTTCATGCATTATATGTGATGGAAATGTTTGTGATAACCGACAAAGAGCACTGGACAGCTATTTCGTCCTGTTTGAGACTCGTCAGCAGTGCGTACTTTTTGTGTCCCTGTGCCTGGTGCTTCTTGACAATCGAATGGGTTAATCCAAGCTTGCTACTCTGGAAATTGACTGAGTCATTCGCACAAGGTGATGACCGTCGACCGTGTAGCTCAGGGGTCAGGGTTTGAAGTCCCAACCGGGACGTTCGCGGTTCGAGTCCTGACAGGGACACAAAAAGTACGCATTGCTGACGATTCCCAAACAGGACAAAACGGCTGTCCGGTGCTCTTTTCCGGTTATTACAAACATTTCCATCACATGTTAACACACAGTGGCCCTTTGGGAGAAGAGAGGTCTTTTGTATTTTGCTTTCGTATTCGATTTTCTGTGAAATCGAAGCACACCAGATGACTGCTCTTTTAGTTTCGCCTAACTATTCGGTGTGTTGAATGCTACAAACAATAAACAGTTGTGTGTATGATCCTAAAACTCGCGGGGAGACGGGGTTGTATGACAAGTACCATGAACACACATTTTTCTTACGGTACATTCACACATGAAAGGCTCTTCTATACATTGATCACAAACACAAACATAAGTTTTCATTATTGTTATTACTATTATTTTGTGAACAAGCCTAATACACAGGCATACTTGCAAAGATATTGCAAGATGAAACATACTCTTGGAGTAAAATCGCCTCGTAATCCCCGGTAAACGTCATAGTGGTCTAATTGGAAAAGTATTCGCAAGCTATAAACGCAACTAGCACCTTCCACCGATATATCGACACACATTTACCCCTCTCACCCTGTGGTTGATTTATTGATTACCAGTAGAAGCGTAGGTTCAATTGCAATAATCTTAAAACCAGTGATGAAGCTAATATTTTAAGGAAACCAAAACTCTATCCGCCAACAAATATGACAGCGATTTAATCCATGAACTGCATATAGTGATTATCATTCTATGAGAACAATCACGGCAGATTTTTTGAATATTTCATGTGCACCCCGTACCCTTCTATAGTTTCACGTGTAGATCCCTTAACCACTCTAAGAATCTCGAGAATTTCCACGCGACCTAACCAATCGAGAGCGCGAAGAATTCAGCAATTTTACTCATTTGTCACACCGTAAAACTGTCATTTCGATAACACCCATTTTGCAATTTCACTCTGACATTTCCGGGATCAAAAGCTTTTCCCCTGTCCCACTTGTTCATGTGAAAGATGTCAGAACAATTTCGTCCCCGATCAGAGGAAGTTAATGAAAGAACACTAACCCGTAATTATATTATTCAACCGAAACAAAACTTCCAGGTGTTCCAAACAAATAAGACCGAAATCCACAAAAGAACAACAAAACTCCTTGCTTGTTTAATAAGCACTGCAGTTATGTAAGGATTTAAATCAGACGTGGGAAGGGATTGATCGCATGTCAGTCAGTAGCATTCGTGTGTACCTGTATTCGAGTGAATTGAACTCATTTCATTGATCCCTGAAATTGATCAAATTCATCAGTTCCCCTTGTTTGTTTCTTCCGTATTTCGTCCACATTTACACAACCCACAACCGCGTCAAAAATGAACAGCGAAAAAGACCTCATCTCATGATATGTCAAGCAGGGCGGATGATGCGTCAACTTTGCAAACTGCAGAAGATGAACAGACATTCCTGGCTCGAATGCAACTACAACTGCAACACATACAAACCCCTTCCCCCGGGGATGGTTCTTCATTATCCAAAGTAAGTTCGGACTAAACTAGTCACAGGTTTAGGGGTGAACTAGCGATTATGAACAGCTCGTTTATTTCGTGTACTTTTTGAGGTGTTTGTACTTCAAAGGACAGAGAGAAGTTTGGTCGCCCCTTAATGACTGCAGTTAGCGTAGATATTGAGCAGTGATCTATACAGATGTCCACCTTATTGTGGTCAAACTGTCTTCTATGCAGCTCGTGCAACCAATATGGAGCTCTTCGGTCACAAAACGTCTATGAACACCCACTAGCCCCTAATAACTTTAGTTCACCTGATACGCACAAAACATGTGAAAGGTGGCCACATTATGTAGTTGGGGTGCCCGCTTGTGAACGGTAGAATGACAGAACCCCTTCGTGTCAGCTAGAAAGACATTGCCTCAACCATCCTATCTTTTTGACAATGAGCATAGGCCGAGTGCGCCAAGTAAGCAAGCAACAGAAGCACCACATGCAGAGAAAAAGTGGTTAAAATCCTGTAAGAGCCTGTTTCGTTTCTTAAAAACAGTTACATATTTGTAAGGAATTCAATTGCAATTTATTTTTTAAGTTTTCTTTTTTGGATTAGCAACTGATGGTCACTTGAGAAGAACACATGATGGCTCTATGTTTGCCTGATGCGACAACACGATTCCGTTGAGCAGCCGTTCATTCAGAACATCTGCAAATAGAATGTTCCTCTAAACTCTTCATCATTTAGCAGACACCAACCGATCATCAAGCTGGTATTACAGTGAATGATCTAGCTGAAGCTGGAACAGATTCGATCAGTTAGTCTCGAGTTAGTGTGTTTCCATCCCGTCCGTCTCACCAAATATGTTGCCGCTAACGACTGTAGCTGAAACATCAGAACCTGGTTAGCAAACGGGTCAGCATCTGTCTCAAGCAAGACTGTAAGTTGCACCACTATAGACAGGAATCATCAAATAATATTTCACAAATGATTCGATAGGAATTACGGGGGGAGAGATTTAAGTGTTTGATTAACATGCTTGCTAGTATAGTGTCCATATTTCAGTCCCCATTTGCAGTACCCCACCTCTGAACGGATGCTTTGGTTTCCGGGCTATTTTGACAAATAGTAGTGCTCATTTTTGTTCCACCGAATCCGGGAAGATCGAATTAAAAATTTCGAAACGGATACTGATTTAATATTCAACGCTCACAAACCTCAGATAATTCCATAATGCGAATAATCAGATTTTGAAGTAATAATACACCGAATCTGCTTTTGAACGAAATTCTATATCTTTTAAGTTGCTAATGCAAACAGTTGAGTACATATGACCGTCATTTTGCTTAATTACGGTAAAACTTGGCCACCAAGCAAAGATTTAAGATGCTGTAATAGTTGTAATCAATAAACTTTAAGCCAGATTGCGCAAACAAACAAAACCAAACTTCATCCAATCTTCACCGATTTTTTCCGAAGGAGATTATGTTGGGGATGCACTTTAACAGCTTTTCGAATTAAAAATCACGTGAAATATAACACAGCCGTACAGAATCAGTCCGTCAAGTCAAGTAATCACTCCCGGTATATACCGCGTCAAATATTATCCATAAATTCGTCTGCCGGTACTCGACCATCTGCACTGGCAGAACGAGATATACATCAATTCGTCTCTCTGCATATGGCTAAATTACGTTTTTAGGCAAAGTTTCGTAATAACCTCATAAACAGACAACTCTGATGTAGACAAACTTGTCGACCATTTCATTCCATTGACCACGACTGAACCATTTGTCATTTGGTGTTCCCATCCAATGGAATTTTAATCATGATTTATCATTGCTTTTCATTAATTTCCTCAGCTTGCTACAGATACGAACAGTGCCCCACCAATAGGTGGACTTGCATCTAACAGCTCCGGTGGAGGGGGAAGTGCCGGTAGCGGATCGACGCCCAGTTCCACACTGACAGACAAAGAAGCCGTTCTGAGCAGCTTTTTCAATTCATTACTGACACGCAAAAATTTGAGCTGTGAGAATAGTCCAAGTTCCTCACCTGCTCCGCCCTCTACCATTTCGTCCAGACAATCAGCCATGCTTAGAAAACTATCTGCCACGTCTAAAACCGCTGGGGGATCTGGGGACCCAATCGGAAAAAGAATAGCGTCTCCAGAACCAACCTCGGAAAAAGAGAAGAAAAAGGACCCAGAAACTCATAAATCGGTACCGCTGGAAACCAAATCCCCAGTGGATGTCACTGAACTGAGTGACACCAGGAATGAAATATTTCCAATGAAAAATAAACCGGATCCAATACAGCCAGGAACCCTTGCCTGTGGTGATGAAAGCTTACCCAAAAATGAAGCAAAACTATACATCGCTCCAGGAACCGGTTCTGAATCCATGGTGGAAACAAACACTTCCAAATTGTCTTCGGATGCTCTGTCAGCAAAAGATCGCCAAGAATGTGAGCAGACAGCCAAGCTATTAAAACCTTCTGTGAGCAAGCAACCGAGGAATGAATCAAACAAGGAGTTAATCAGTGAGACAGATCTTCTTAAAGCTACTCCTATCAGTTTGCCAGACCAAACTAGACCAGATATCCAAGAGGGATTGGCAAAAGGAAGTGAATGCCAAACAGATGAACTGCAAAATATTAGAGCTATGGAGGATGCAGCACCGGGGATCATATCAGAGATGCAGTCACCAACATGTGAACTAGTTTCAGTTGAAAACTCTAAAGAAACAGCAAAAACTGACGAATTAAAAGAAGAGGGCGAATTAACAATAGAAAATCAAGAAACGATTGGACCTTTGGAAGTAGCTGAAGTTGGGCAGAAGTCTAAAAGTAAGTCAGTCACAGGTGTCGAAGAAAAATCACTTCAGGTAAAAGAAAATGACTGTCCGGAGAATGAAAATCGCAGTGAAAAGCAATGTCCGTTTAACGAAAGTCACAAAACGGAACAATGTGCCCCAAACGAAGAGCATACATTGCATAACACAACGGAATACATAGATGCGGGAAATCGTGAAGGCCAAACCGAAGAATCCAAGCTACATATTCACACAGTAGGCAAGCCACCAGCTGAAGACGTTGATTCAGAGCCCAATGCGGTCAAAAACACGGATGTGGAAGATTCGACGGTAGTGAGAAGTGATACGATTGATGCGGAAGCATTGGATTCGAAGGTGTCAGTGCCAAAAACGAAAGAAGATAAAGCTGTTCTTGAAAGGTCGAGCATGGAAAAAGGTGAGGTGAAAAATAACAGAGCGAAATTCATGGAAAAATCACCAAGTCAGGTATCTTTGGTTCAATCTGAGCACAAGGAAATTCCAGAGAACGTTTCGTCTGCAGATAAACAGATGCACGAGTCGAAAACAGCTAAAACGGAAGAAATGGATCACGGTGAAGAACAAGTGGAGCTTGACAGATACGAACAAGATGCAAAACCGACGGCATTTGCCTCAGTACCGTGCAAATCTCCAGAGTCCTCTTCGGAGAACAATCTCACAGAGGGTGAAAAAGATGACAGATCACAAGGAACTGCCAAAGCGGTGGACAATAAGGAACTGACACAAGACACGAAGGTTGAAAACAAAAAATTGAAGAGCACAGTGATTTTCACCCAAAGTAAATCCACTGCAGAATTAAAAATAAGCGACGCGAAAGAGTCACAGCAGGTCACACAAGATGAACAATCGCCACATGCACAGTCCTTTGGAAAAGACAGTGATCGGGAATCGATAGAAAAGAAAAACTAGTATGTTGGTGAAGCAGATGGTGGTAAGTAAGTAGCAATTCGAATAACTTAAATAGATAAATCATGTTTTCATGAAAACTATCACTCACAATCTGTTTCTATTCGTAAGTTTTATCACAACTGTACAAATTCTTTTCACGGAACCCGTTACAATTAAATTAGGGTCGCATATCAACTCTGGTCAGGGAATCGAGGACAGAAATGCATTTGAAAATTTCACAGATTACCGTTGCTACCCTCGATGATCAGTCCCTCAACTATGGAAACCCGCATATCACTACCGTTTCCTTGGTTTGTTGTAGTCCGTTGACAGAAGAAAAGATTCACGTTATCATGCCTGAGTAAAGTGTCACGAGCATCAAAGTGAACACCAGTTAAAAACAAATCACCTGGCCACAATCACTCCTCGCACGTCTTTTGCTAAATAGAACTCCAATAAACAAATAAAAATATACTGAAAACTAGTGTCCCTAATTTCATTAGGACTAATTAGATTTTCTGCAGGATACAGCTTAGAAACAGGAAGAAGTGGAAACTGCATGTTTAACCGAGCAATACCATTTATCCCTACCCATTCTCTGATTCAATATGATATCACCAATCCAGTGACCAAAATAACCCAGAGATTCGACAGTTGGCATACATTACGGAAAATAATTAATGACTACTGATATTAACATAAGTAGCAAAACCTGGGTGTCTGTAGAAGCAAATCACTTAAACACATTGTTCATTCCTGATTGCCTCCGTTATGCATGGTAATTTAATTCTCTTAAGCTCAGTCGTCTTGGGAAGAAAACACGGATTACCCGCCATGTGTCCAAGCATGTTTTCTACTCCGTTCAGTCCCGTTTACAGATGGCTGGGGGACACTTGCGGTATCATTAGCCCAACTTTAACCCTTATTGCATTTTACGAAAGTACATTGTGTTTCTCAAACATTGAGTTTGGCGACTTTCCACTGAGAAACGACTGCAGATGTTCTCCGTTGCCATGAAACATTTATTACGGCGAAGATCAGCTGTGAATAAACATAATCAGAAAACAGCTTGTTACAATACAGTACGGTCAAATCACCGCTTCTCTTTGTTCGATTACTTTTATAGAAGCGTTTTGGTTCGAACCTTCCTTCATCCCTTCCTCTTCTTCGTGTCCGTGGCCAAGCTTCGCTTTGTGGTCTGATCTGATCAAATCTTCACTCCATCGGTGGTTTTGGCTCACAAATTGCTACTGCCATAGCAACAGATTCTCATCTTCAAGGTTGTGGCTCGGTTTGACTGAACTCCCTTCGAACAAACAAAATTACAGTGATTAAGTTGGTTGTATTGATTTTTTCATCTACTGTGTGCTGATTATTCACCATTCTTTAATTTTTAATTGAACAAAAACAGATATCCGTGCCGAATGCGACATTCTTTTAACTTGTCAAACTCAAAGTAGTACGGGTTGAACAGGGACCAAACCAACATGGAGGTGCTTTATCTATCCGGTGCATCTATCCATGGAAAAGTAACCAATTTTCCAGAGCTTCTTCTGGAGAAGCTAATATAAAAAGAATTTCCGCTTCGATATTAACAAATTTCACATTATTTTGAATTGGATTCCCATTTACATGGTGATATAGTTAAATCTTAACATATTTCAATAGCGAAAACCCAACCCTCTTCATAGCCTACGCTGTCGTCTGGTAGAACGTCAGTCACATTGATGGCCAGCCAACAAAGAGGCCTTTAAAAATAAGAGTAGTGGAGAATTTAATTCTGTTCTTTGGTAACTTTCGTAGAATACCGATAGAAAAACAGGCACTTGAACTGAAGGGTTAGAAGGCAATGCAGGACAGCTGTTTAGACCTGGTTGTGCCTTATTACCAGTGCGAATCTATCCACCCAATTGGAAATGGAAACCGGGACCTCGCAGGTAGAATTCAAGTATACTATCCACTCGGCCACTGAGTACCTGAGTAATCCATTTTTAACTCACTCATACGCGACAGAGCAAAATAAGCTAGGTTTTTAGTTCACTATTCCGTTGCGATGGCCAAGGAGTTCACCACACAGTAATACAGCACATATTTTTATGAGCACATCTTTAAACTTCGATCTGGAGTATTAATTATTTTGAAGGATGATCGATGAATCATGTCATACAATATTTCTCATCCAATGGTAGAAAAAAGAATTTCCGAATAGTTATTTGTTGGTAAGCCGCGGAGACCATGAAACAAGTTTGAATTAATACAATTGCCGTCAAACAGGCCGAATCTCAATGGGATTTGGAACCTGCTTTCTATAGTCAACAGAAAAGAGAATATACTCACGTCCAAACTCATTTTGAGTGTCATACGTATTGAAAAATAAAGACTCATAACCCCCGGTGGACGCCATGTGCATACGTTTGCGACGAGCCTCCGGATAAATTTACTTCAACGTATCTCAACATCCAAAACTGCTTCGTGTTAGCTGACCTGAACGTTGAAGAATAAAAGCTTTTTATCTGGGCTAATTGACCATGATTGATTTTGCTGCGCAAAGGACCGATCTCACATGAAATTTGCTGAACGGGTTCTTTGTGTAAACAAAAAGGAAGCTAGATGATTCTACCATTGAGGTTTGTAGCTCTGTAAACCTCGAATAATGCGAAAAGAATTTAAAAAACGAAATGAGGGTTCCGACCTGCAAACAGTCTTCTCAGCGGAATCTGTGTTCAGTCCAGGAGATACAGTAAACGCCTTCAATCCAGGAACACTAACATTGTAGGTGTAATCATGCTTCGAGTTAAGCAGAAAGCACTGACCAGCTGTCGAAAACTAAATTTTATTAAGTTATGTACGACACTTCTGACTTCCCGGTCATCTTTAAAATCTGTTTCTTTGAGATCGCATGCAGAAGTAAGCGTTTATGTTTTCATTTTTATATTGGTTTACTGCTGCACCCTCGCTTGTGATCAGTAAACTCGACAAAGTGACTCCCTGATCGGTGAATATTTCTCCAATGGAAACACTCACTTACACCTGAACATTCTTTGAGTGTGAGTGAGGCGTGATCAACCAAAAACAGAGTCAGGTCAGCACTTGGTCCCCGTTCTGTTCTGCAGTAGTCGAAAATCCCCGCAGTTCTTCCTATTTGTCTAAATAGTCCCACAGCGCACATTTCAAACAGAATAACAGAGTGGCGAGCAAGCTCATTTGCAGAGATTCGTATTCATGCCAATACATCTCAATATATACCACTACTCGGGAATAAAACAGTCTTGGGAAAATGAAACAAAATAAAATCACAGATTAATAAGAAAGAATTTCATCATGAGACCGGAAATCGAGCCCACCATGATCACATATTTGTTTGTCCACCCATCCGATCATCGAGATCACACGTGAAAGGGAGTGTGGGGGTGGACGAGGGAAGCTTTAGCGCTTTCACAAATTGTTTTTGGGCACACAGGGCGGGTTTGTGCAGACGAATTCCTACTGTTTCTGCTGTAGCCAGCATCCGACAGCGAACCTTCCTGGATAATCCCCCATGAACTTTATACAGGGGTCGGAAAGCCACGGACAAGTCCACAGTGTGGTTGGTTTCAGCTGACTGTGAAACCACTGCACTGGTGAATGGATTAATCGTTCCGGTGTTCAGCCACGAATCCGTTCGGATAATCGCCTGACCGTGCTTATATACGTTGTTCCACAGGAAGAGGTAAATGGGTATACACAGAATGAGACTGTAGAGTCTGGAACTTTGTCCTTCAGCAGCAAACACACAATGGGTTTGGACGTGATCAACACACGAAGCTTGGATGCATAGAAAGTTGTGTTGTTTGAATTGATTGTTTGTTTTACTGCATCAATTGTGTTTTTATGATTGGTTCGTATAAGACTGAACAACTTGATTACTTCAGGTTTATATATAAATGCCCGTGATTCCCTTCCAAAATGTGATTCGTGTCCAGTGGACTAGAGAAAATATATCGAGAGCATTTCCTGAAGAACCGATTAATGACAAAAGTCTTATCGATTACGTCGGATAATCTTCTTTGCATGATCTCAGCTGATGTGTCCCCATTGAATGACGAAGTTATGTACACGGATTTTTTTCTAACTTCAGTGTTTTGTACACAGTTTTCCGTGCACTGAATCACCTTGTTGACTAAATGCTCCAGATACCCGTTACGTGCAAAGAAGGATTTTATAGTACGGAGCTCGCCTTTTAGCGTGTCCTCACTGCAGATCTTTCTTGCCCCATCCGCTAGGCAACGAACCAGGTTCCTTTTTATCTTCAGTGGCTCAAGGCTTCGGAAATGAATGTATTGGTCTTTTCAAGTTGTCTTTCTATGCACGGAACGCTGTACCGAACGACTTCATCGGTGGGTGATGCAGACACCTAGAAATGGCAACTTGTTGTTAAGCTCCATTTCTAAAGCATGCATAGATGCGGGAAATCGTGAAGGCCAAACCGAAGAGTCCAAGCTACATATTCACACAGTAGGCAAGCCACCAGCTGAAGACGTTGATTCAGACCGCAATGCGGTCAAAAACACGGATGCGGAAGATTCGACGGTAGTGAGAAGTGATACGATTGATGCGGAAGCATTGGATACGGAGGTGTCAGTGCCACAAACGAAAGAAGATAAAACGTGGCGCAATCCACTTCTTGAGAAGTTGATACCGTTTTGTAGGGCGTCATCGATCTTCATTTTTTTCTATCTATCTGCAAGTAAAACGCTTTTCCAACTCTTGCAAATTTGTGGCATGCAAGTACGATGATGAATTCGTATTTGGGAGACCTTAACCTAGTCTTGACTGTGTCATCTAAATGGCATACTACTAGATCTGAAGTTGCAGTTGCTCCATGTCCCGCTCTTTTATGCTCAATAATGAAAAATATCCTGGTGGTCTCTTCAGTTTCAACGAAGGTTCCAAAAATTGGACTCCTTTTTTTGCAATCCACTTGATGTCGTTTCCTAAGGTTCGTTCAGTAAAATGCATTGAATTATTACGTTATATCCTAG